TGTGTTTTGATTTTGTTTTTTTTTAAAGGTTTTTTTTTTTTTTTTTTTTTTTTTTTACCCCTCCAGAGGGGAAAGTCCAGTCTCAAGGTGAAAAATGATCAAATCAGTCTTGGACTGTGATTGATTCCATTGTCTTGTAGTTCAACAAACATTCTTTGTTATTTTTTATTTATTTTTTTTATAGCTGTCTTTGTCTTGGTTCAAACAGCTATAAAATATAGCATATTTTTTTCTTCATTTATTTGGTTCCTGTGCACAGTGGAAGCATTTTCCTGTCTGCCACGTCCACCTCACTGCTGTGTTTTTGTCCTCTGTCTTGTTTTGATTCTCCGTCTGTCTCCGGCTCCTTCGTGCAGTCCTTCTGAAGGCATTGCAACAATGACTCCCACCAGCTACCTGAAGGAGACAGAGAAGTCAGAAAAAACTAGATGACCAAGACTTTTTTTCAGGAACGCAGCTAGATGGAAATAAAATCAAGTTACCGAGGCGGCGAAAACAAGATAAACACCATAAAGAGGAGCGATGGAAAGAATGACAACAGAGTTACGAGCAAAATAAAAACTAAAAAATCCCCAGTTTAGCTTTGTAATTTTGCTCACAAAACAATCTGTTTCCACACCGATTGTCTTTCAGTGAATGGAAGTAGTAAAAAACTTTCAATTTAGTACATTACATTTGTTGTTTTCTAAAATATTGAGTCTAAGTTTTATAGGTATCTTAGAGCATTTGCATCTAGTTTGTTGTAAACATTTTTTTCCTTCACTTTCTCTCCTCTGTCAATTCAGAAACTCTCAAGAAAGTGAAATGTTGGCCAGGTGCAAGACTATAACTATATATATATATATATATATATATATATATATATATATATATATATATATATATATATATATATATATATATAATTTCTGCATCAGAAATTAGACATTAGATAGTTAGTCACTATTAAAATTGCTCGCAATTAGTGAAAGTTACAGTTTACCTGATGGTCAGAAGAAAGACTCATGGAGTTACCAAGAGGCTAAAGCACACTACTACACTTCTGTCGCATAAAAATGATCTGCAGAGACGGTTTTCATTACTAAATCAAAGAGAATTTAAAGCAAAAGAAGGATTCAATGGTCCAGTTGTGATTAATAGATTAGCAAGTTGCTTTTCTACAAGAACCTAACTACTTTGTAACCTTAATTGGAGCATTACATGCTTAGTTTATTGATTAGCAGATAAAAAAAACAACTAAACAAAACAATAAATTTAAACATATTTATGCCCACATATCAAAAACATTGGACAATTATCTAAAGATATAATTGGCTGATAAATGTTTGTCTTTTTATCAGTCACTACAATTCAGATTCAGAGCTTATTTGTCCAAACAATTTGGCACATTTAGGTTTTCATTGTATTCAGGTGAGAAAATATTAATGAAGATTTTTTTTTTTGTAAACTCACTTTGTCTGCTGGTAGGAGTAGGCTGTGGCATGGTCTGCTGAACTCTCCACTGATAAAGGCTGCTGCCCGCTGGCATCCTGTGAGGAGGGGGCAGTTGTCTGTGGAGATGGGTCTGTCACCACACCCTGATTGGACACAGAGTGGAAGAAAGGAGGTCAAAGTAAATTGCTGCAGTGAGAGTGATATAAGCTATTTTTTTCCACCCCAATTTTTCAGCCTTGGATAAATAAGTTAACCACATATTCAACTTATAACTTGCTTAGTTCATGAAAAGTAAAGGTTGGTTCTAACTTTCTGAATTAATTTTTGACAAAGTGAATGCAATGTGTATTTTTCCCCCTATTAAAATTAGCACCTCTGAATGAATTCAAAATTTCCCCCATCTGAAACTGTAAAAAAAAAAAAAAAAAAATACTGTTTAAAACGATCATCTAAATCTTTCTGCACAGTAGGGTTAACAAACATCTTACATCCACTGTAATAGCAGAGGCAGGCACTGCAGTGTACTGGGGAATGTAGGTTCCTTGCATAGGAGCAGCCGCTGCAGCAGAGATGTACTGCAGAGACACAAGGCGGGGCACACGGTGAAGCAATACATACAGCCTGGTGCAAACATGTTACAATCTGTCTTTGGATTTGTAGTTAATTGCTAGCAACCAAATGTGAGAAATATAAAAAACAAACAAACAAACAAACAAACAAACAAACAAACAAACAAAAAAAAAGAGTTTTATTCTAGCTGCACGTTTGCAAAAGCTTCCAAAAATAAAAGAAAGGGTGTCATTTGAAAGCAGGCTTGACTGTGTGACAAGAGTCTAATGCAAGTCGTGCCCGTTTGTTTTAGAGCAACTGTCATGTTGCAAAGTAAACTTCCACACCAGCCGACTCTGTGTTTAGCTTCATCCTCTCCCTCATCAAATCTGACCGACTTCACTGTCTCCGTGGCATGACGCTGCCTCCGCCGTGGGTTATTGTGCGGATGGTGTGTTCAGAGAAATACGTTGGAAGAGAGACTCACGGTGCCTGTGGGGCCCAGAGAGAGGTGGTTCATCTGCTGGGTGAGAGGAGCCATGACACTGGATGGGTGAAGAGACAAGCTGGGCTCTATGGCCGTTGCTGGGGTGATCACGGCGCCCTGGTGAAGAAGAACAGAGCATTCGGGGCTTTTCTCAATATTGCGGATTTTAGTTGTGAAATATTACATACTGCAATGATCCATGTCTATATGCATGCTTAACCTTACAGTACAAAGACTACTTTATATATATATTTTATTCTTGAAGATAATGGTACAAGAGAACAGCATCAGTCATATCCGTCATGTCAGAATATGAATCAGTGATTTAACCCAACATCAAGACTAACCAAGGTTCAAGGTATTATCCTCAACATCTTTGCTCTGACCCTTTGGATAAAACATAACTAATCATTCTCTTCATTCAACAAAGTTTGCTTCTTGTCCTTCCTGACCAAAGCCCGGGTTTGTGGTGTGGACAACCAATGAATGAATTCATGATTCTTTGATCAAAGGAGACGTGCCCTTAAAGTTGTTGTCTTGCAGTAAGAAGGTCATGGGTTCGAATCCCGGCCTACGTGGATTGTGCATGTTGTTTCTGCGTACTCTGGCTTCCCCTCACAGTACAAAAACAAGACATGGTTAAACGGTTATTCTACATTGTCCTTAGGTGTGTGTGAATAGTTGTTTGTCCTTCGTGTCTCTGTGGTGTCCTGTTACGGACTGGTGAACTGTCCTGGGTGTATCCCGCCTTTCACCCATTGACCATTGAGATAGTCAGCAGGCCCTCCTTGCAACCCTACAAGGACAAGCATGTATAGAAAATGGGTGGATGACTTGAAGCTAATTCTAAGTATTTTACTCATATTTCCAACACTGAAAAACAAAAGCAGTGGCTGTCTAAACAACTAAAACACATAAATTAAGGTCCTAGAACTGACAGGGTTGGAGCAAATTAACTATGCTAGACAGCATGGCAACTTCACCTTCTCTCTTGTGTTTAAGGGCGGCCCTCCCCGCCCTTCATTACAGTTTCTCTTTTGCTTCACAATTCATTTCTTTTGCAGTCAATAGCACCATCTGTTTAGCTCCAGGGTTACATACTCAGTCACGCCAGAGTCTGCACTTTATAAGTGAGCCAGATCAGATTCCCTAAAAGAAACAAATATGAAGTATTCTGTAAAACAGAAACAGACACTCCCGAACAAAGAGATAATGGTTAGCATGCACCTAAACTGCCTGGAGTCACTTCAAGAAAACTTCCTCCTTGTTCATAAGAGGCCCAGCAAAGGCCACAGATTTTATTTTTGTCCTGTGTTACTATTATCTGTATCAATAGCCTTTGAAATGTTCTTTTTTAAAACTCATGTGCCTTACTTCAGAGTTCTTCATTCAGAAAGAGCAATTCAGACCAATACACAGGAGTGCAAAATTGTGAAGTGGAAGGATAAAGATGCAGGATGCAGAAACATGGGCAAAAAAAAGTCTGTACATTAAAATGGCAAATACAAGTCGAGTAAAGGGCTACATGGTGGAATGGTGGGTTACAGCATGAAGTATAATGAAGTCTGAAAATCAATTCAAGTTATTATGTGTGGAATTTACAAGTTCTCTTATTATGTACATGAGTTTTTTTTTTTTATTATTATTTTTTTATCTCCTACTTTTGAAAAACACGGCTGTTTTCTTCTCTTTCTTTGACCAGCTCATTCTTTGCGGCGAGTGTGTGAAAGCCCCACTTTGACTGCCGGGATAAGAGCTGGTTGTAATTGTCTAAATACAGCCAGGAAAAAGATGTTCGGACTCCCAGGTCTTGTTAAACTTGATGACTACAAATGTTTCGACTTTGTGCACGGAAATAAAACAAGTCAGCTGGCTCGCTCGGCAGGCTTGACAGCACCTGCTTGCTGAAAGGAGGAGAGAGGCTTTTACAGTAAATCTCCTGAATGCGAAGGGCTTTGATGCCGTCTAACACCTTGATGCTCTAAGCTGCGTTTCTCCAGTATGGTGCGGCTACAGCTTGTACTGCTCTGCAAAAAAACAAAAAAAACCCACAAAAAAAACCGACCTAATACGAGTGTGCGCTGGCATGCCTGACAACATAACAGCAGATGTAAACACAACTGTTTAAATACACTCCCCGTGGGAACAGACGCCATGCGCCGGCGTTGTTCCGGGGAGCAGAGCTGTCAGCGCCTCCATGGATGCGTGTTGAGGCAGGGTTGAAGAAGTTTGGCATTTCAGGCCCAAGCTGTTTGACACTAAACGAGCTGCTCTGCAGAGGCTTAAAAGCGCTGCTAAACATAAAAAAAAAAAAAAAAAGATGCACCTAAAACCGGAGACACAAGCCGTTTCGAATGTTTTCAACCTACATAGAGTCCGTCAGGTGAAAAACAGCTTACCCTCATGAACATTACAGAGAGAGATTACCAGAGCTGTGAACAGCGGTGCCAAGGCACGTCGATGTAGCTGCTGTATTTACAAGGCGATCTGTTTGAAGACTACAGCCGCGTAGTTATAGCTACCCAGAATCACAATCTAATCACCATGTCTCTATGGGACACAAAGGAATGCTAACAGATGCATCAACAGATTTCCTGGAAGAAAGAAGAAGAAGAGTAAAAAAAAACAAACAAAAAAAAGCGTTTTCCTCCGCCAGTCAGATTTACCAAACACAATCCGGGCTCACTAACAAGTGTGGTTTTTATCCACCTCAATAAACTGATTGCTGTCATAATGACTTTTTCTTCCTCTGCATTCAGTCTCACAGCAGGTTCCCACAGAGGAAGAGGGAGCCGCACAAAGAAGAAGGAGAGCCATAATGAGTAACTGCCCGCTTTGATTTATAGCTGTACACCAGTTAAACGGGCTATCTCTGCATGTGCCTCAACGTGGACACAAAGCATTAGCTGGACTGTGATGAGTCTAATTATGCGCTGCAGAGCATGTGTACGTGTTAAAGTTTTCATGCGTCAGGCGTTGCTGCTGAGGTAATAAATGGACGAGCTAGGCCGACAGGAATCTTCTCCCTGAGGACGACAGACCGGGAAGCAAATCCCCTTCCACCTTGGACCGGCTCACTCGTTTCTGTTCCTTTCTCGTGTTTTCTCCTCTTTCTTTGTCTGCATTCATTTAAAGAACTTATGCCTGACATGCTGAAGGCTTACCTATTTCAAATGTTTTAAGCCCTGTGTGCTGCAGGCACTATGCAGCTTCAAAGACACAGTATTAGGAATAGTAGCATCCCCGGATGGAGAAAAAAAGAAAAAAAAAAGCTGCTGCTGTTTTGTCAGGACTCCTTTCTGTGTTCGCATGTTCCCTCCCTAGCTAGTGTGCTTTTATGTCCAGGTGGTTTTGTTGTTCCTAAAACTTCCTTTTCCACATTGAAAACACACCCTTGCAATCTCTGTTTATACACACAGAAGCAAAGGTGATCTGCAGAACAGAAACTGCTTGGAGGTAGTTTCCACGCACACCTGCATGCATGCGTGGCTGACACAAGCAGGATGACAGTATTAAAAAAATAAATAAAAATAGAGTAAGAAATTTGGGTACAGGCACAGGCAAATGCACTGGCCTTTTTGGTAGATATGTAAAAAAAAAAAAAGAAAAAAAGTTATCGCACAAAAAATGTAGAAAAATACAGCCTTAATCCAGTGGTCTCAAACTCCAGTCCTCAACAGCCGGTGGCTTAAAACCTTTGGATGTTTTTTAAAATCTCGACATCCTGTGTCATATTCTTGACAAACGCTCATTACTCAGTAATGACGGAATATAAACTCTGGGCATTAAAGTTCCCGGGCATCCAAATGACTAATTTTGGTATTTTAACTTGGTGAAATCTGAAATTCTAATTCCTCACATGTCTAATTTCAGGCCTCTCAAATAAGCAGCATTTTTTTTTCCGATGGTCGGTTATGGCAATGCATTAATTTCCTGCATGAGGATTTGTAAGTAATTATGCAGAAGGACATCTTCTTACCTTAAGTTGAGTAAGTTGTAAAGACAGGCAGTTAAAGTAATCCTAGCATTCATCCAGTACTTGGAAACACAGTCTTTAAAGCGCTGCTTAAAGTGTGTTTTAGTGTGTTTAATGTTTGTGCTTCTCTCTTAATCTCAGAAAGAATGAACATAAATCTCCCGAATCCTGAATGTGAGCAGGTGTGTGTGTGTGTGTGTGTATGCCTATGTGTACTTTCCTTCTGAAGCTGTCAAAAAAGAGGATTCAACTCTGTTTACTTCTCGTTAATCCTAACCTGTTCATGAGTCATTAATTTAGTCAGTCGCTATGTTTTCTTTTGCCCAAGTCCATCTCAGCACATTTGGCAGATTTGTGCAACGAGAGTGCAAGAAACCGAGTATGCAATGGACTGAGAATGAGAGGCCCGCATAAATGTGTCAGCCTAAATGTGTCAAGTGGCGTGCATCATTTATCAAAGTTAGGAGTTATTAACCGTGGCGCAGCAGAGAAAAACCCTGTGCTACCACTTAAACTGCGGTGTCTTTCCCCGTTTCTCTCTCTCTCTCCGTCGCAGCTTTAATTTGCCGAGCTCTGGATCCAGGAAATACAATGACTAGCCTTCCCCCATGTATTCGCGTTGGGATTTTGCGGATGCACAGACGGGGTTTGGGAGCAAAAAGCACGCAGCCCAGACATGCTTCTGCAGAAGTTTTCCTTTCTTTGTTCCGATTTATCCCTTGTAATCCCTTCCTCCTCTCTCTCCTTTCTCTGTGCGCGTCTCTCTCCCTTTTCCTTGCACTGTCAAAGCCCCACTTTTGCTATTTATTTTCTATTTCAACAAGCCCTCGGCCTTCCCTTCCTGTTATCTCTGTCTTACTTCTTCCAAGTCTTAAGCTGTCATATCAAGCAGTCTGCCAAATTATTAGATGGGACATTTATTTGAAAGTGCAAAATGGACCAAAAAATAAAAAATAAAAAAAAGAAGAGATTTAACTGACTGTCAAAAGTGACCAAACGTCTCTGAGAGGGATGCAGCACTCTTGAAGCTGCTAAGATATTGAGGGGGTGATCACAGAACCATAAAATGTTGTACTGTAAATAGTCCGCAGCATCGCAAGAAACATGTTGAGGGGGGGAAAAAGGCGCTAGCCAAGAATTT